CTTCTTGTTTTTCTTCTAGGACTGAAAGTCGATTATAAACTCATTCGATATGCGGAAACTAGTTTTGTTCATTCACTTGTAATGTTAATGATTATTCTATGCTTTGTCGTATTTAATTATTTCCTACAGATCAAAAAATAATAAATATTGACATTGACAAAGCATATTGTTTAACAGGTATAGTTTTTTTTCTTCGGAGTTTTTCTTCTTTTGAAGTATCTTTCGTTAGAAGGAAAGAAAAGAAGTCCCGATATGTAGATGTAGACGGGAGAAGGCGTTCGATATTTTTTTTTCGTCTTTCCTGCATTCTTAAGTATCACAGCAAAAAAATAATTTTTTTACTAGGTAAAAGGACGAAAAATTTGTGTCTTAATTAGTGTGTCAAAATTTACAAACTGTATGGCCATGAGTACGAAGAGCAGTAAGTAGTAATTTTTATTTTATTAATAACGTAAGTGATCAATGTCATCTTGAATTTGCACGAATTTTCTAGTTCATAGTCACCAGCAATTTTTACGTCAATTGAACGATATCAAAAAGCAGTATGACAATATCAAACAAAATTGTGATCGACAAGATATTGAGAAAAAGTTGTTAAATGACATTGATCGATGGAGAAAAAAATCTATTGCAGATATTGAGTCAGCAGCTAAAACAGTTCAAACTGAAATACAACGTTTAACAAAAGAATTGAATAATCAAGTCACCACTTCACTACAGCAACTCTCGAATGAACTTCGCTTGAAATCAAAACCGAATCAATTTACACATTTTGATATCGAACGACTCGGAAACCTACTTAGAGTTTGCAATAAGGAATGGGCTGCATTAAACGAAATTAACATAGTTTCTACTGATTGTTCATCTCTTGATCTGATCAAAATCGAAAAAGAACCGATACATTCAAAAGAAACTGCGACATCTTTATCGAGAATATTAGATACATCTGAGAGAACACCAATAGGAAACACCGCCTTCGATGGCTCATCAATAAACAATCATTATCTCCCAAACATGTCAAAACTTTCTTCCCATATGGCCGCAGACACATCATCAAAGTTGTTCTCAAATCCAGTTAATATGTTTGGTCTTAATCATTCCACTGATTCAAAAATATCACAGCTATTCAAACATCTGATATCTCTTCCTCCAATGGATAAATATGGATCAATGAGTGGTCGCTGCGACGTTGAAACTACGCAAATGGAAACATTTCTTTCACGAACATTCGGTTTTCAAAATATTCACGGACAATATATCGTGCATGGTGTCAAAGCATTTCACTTACACAGATCGCCTTATTCAATGAATCCGAGGTCTCTAATTCATTTTCCCAGCGAGTCTGCCCCTAAGTCATTTGCAATGATCTTGCAAGAAATTCTTGATTGGCAACATTCATATAGAGTTTATGCTGACAAAAATATTAGAGGTATGGACAAAGAATTTCTTCGACGAGCATTACAAGGACGAAGTAAATATGGGAAAGAAGCATTTCGTATGAAATTTGTTGTTCGCATTTCAACATGTCCTATTTTGATGGAATTC